CCTCATACATAGCCACTCCAGACTTCACCCTCAAAAATGGTTTCAAAAAGTGACGCAGGAAAAAATCAATGGGTCACAGGGCCAAATAAAGCATCCTTAGCCTCACCCTCTGGGCCGACACACTTGCCCTTAGTGGCAAATTCTCACCACCAGCAAGAAAGTGGAGGAGAGGGCAAGAGGAGCTATTGCTAAGGCAGTTCACAGCAGGTCCCTGATGAGAGGTTCCCCAGGATGGACAAATGCATGAGTTCCAGGCTGGTGTAGGAGCGCAGGTGGCGCACTGGTTATAAGTGCTCACCTGTTAACTAAAGGGTGGACAGTTCAAACCCATTAGAAGCTAGGTAGAAGAAAACAACCTGACAATCTGCTCTAAAGAGGATCGCACCCCGGGAAACCCAGCCCGGCAGCACTCCTGCTATGGTTGAACAGACTCCCTGGGCACACAGCAAGAAGGAAGAGTCACCACGTGGAACATAAAATGCACTTGGATGTGTATATTTCGATTTACATAGGCCTGAATGCTACTTTCACACACAGAGCCCCAAAGGAAACTGTGCCTTCTTTGCTTATGTGATTTTTATTTGGACTTTAGCAAAGAAAAACTTAACAAAATTCACGTTTTAGAATTAAGTAACTTTGATTATTATCAAAAATAAAAATAATGAAAAGGAAAAACCCCATTCTTCGATACATAATTATGGCCATGAATCAGCTACAAGTCTATTTTGATCAATCGAAAACTGACTAGGTTTATGAGCCAACTGTGTAACAAAGACAGCAGGCTCCCTCTTATGAAGTCAGAGTTTCTGGAACTTAAAAAGAGAAAACCTAGATTAAGCCAACTTCTTAAAACATCTAACTAACGTTATTAGAGCAGTCCTAGGTGATGACTTGCTGAAAAAGGACCAGGGTACGTGTTTGAGCTCCACCTGAAAAAGTATGAACTTGGAGCCTCTCCTGAGAGGTGGGATTTCTATCAAGATTACAGGGCCGCCGCTTACTGGTTTTTAAACAGCTCATTAATTGTCACTGCCTTTTCAATGAAGCACATATGCAATATATGCCTATGCACAGAAGCAACCCAAGGGCAGGATGACCAAAGCTTTTTCAAAGGTCAGCAGCAATGCCGGAGTTCGAACACACTCTCTTCAGACAGCGCTGGTTCCTGGACTCCGACCTTCTCAAATCGAGCTGTAAAGAATTACCTGGAGAGGTTTGTAGAACACTTGAGACACGTAGGCAGACCCGCGATTCCAAGTGGACTGGTCTTAGGGCCCAGCCTTCTGTTTGTCTGTTCTCTCTCTCTCTCTCTCTCTCTCTCTCTCTCTCTCTCTCTCTCTCTCACTCTCTCTCTCACACACACACACACCTCTCTCCTTTCCTCTCACTCCCCTCCCTCCCAAGATAATAATACAAAATCAAGGTTGGAAATGAGACTGTTTTCATTTCAGGCTATACCCCCAGAATAAAGAGTTCCTGATATTCAATAAACAAGGCTGAAAATAAACATCAAGGGAGAGATTTCTGACCTAATAAATAACCACTCTTTATGACATAATCATCTCGTTCAAAAGTGATCGACCTCCAACAAAATGTAAAGTTTGCAACTGCCAAACATCTGATTCAAAGTAGCACAGTGGCCGAAAGCAAGGGACACAACACATCTTTGCTTCTGTGCCCAGCAACCAGTCTACCAGGTATCCACTTTTGGCCAGGTACTTATTCACGGCTGGCCTATCTTGAGAAAAACTTTATTCTCCACTCCTCCGTGTGTCTGTCAGACTTTCCATTATACGCTGTATTTTCTCTGCCAGTAAATGCAGGAGGAGGTTACAATTTGGCAGGAGCTTTTCAAGTCTGGGTGTGAGTTTTCTACCCCATTTAAAATTTTTAAATTCGTTTGGTCATATTTAAGGAGAAGTTAAAAAAAATTTACAAGGCCTTTAGGCCACTTTTGGACACGGTTCACTATCTACACAGCTTCAAAAAAGTTTTCAAAAATCATGTTTCTGTGTGCATTTTATGAGGAAGTACATTTACAAATTATTAGTCCATTATCCTACCCACTCCCCGCCATGAAAACAGTTTAGTTTTGTTTTGCTGTTAAATTCTTCACGTTTTAAAACAGTTATGTATCTATTACTCTGAGAGTTAAGTACTCAGGAGAAATATAATGGAAATATATATCTAAGTTTTTAAAAATAATATATATCTCAAGATAACAATTCCTTCCCCTGGGCAATTCCACTACCTGTTGCTTGGGGGTGGATCCCATCCCAAACAACGGCATGGATCTGGGAAGAGGCAGATTCACACAGAACAATACTGGTTCCCTCAACCCGGGCAGGCACACTGTTCTAACAGGCAGCCCCTGGAGCCCTGTCTGGGCGTTTATCTACAGCTTTCCATCCAATGTCCCTACTACCCTGTCAACAAAGGGGAGAAAAACAAAAGCCCCACCCCACCCCTCCCCTAGAGCCACTCACCTCGCCCCCAGGGGACAATCATTTCAGCTGGGATCTGCTACTTAGGCTGGGAGCCCACCCTTAGGGTGAGTAGCTGGTGCTGCAGGCAGGGAGTCCGCTAGAACAACCTCCCAACCCAGGAGAAAGGGCGATGCACACCCAGGCGCACCAGCTCTGGTCTAGTCTCAAATTTCATGAAAAGCAGAGAGTCTCAATGTGCACGAGTTTCCAGCTTCAGCCCCTATTGCCTCACTCAGAGAAATTCCAAAATGTCACCCGGCTCTCTCGCCTTCAGTGAGCACCCTGTTTGTGGAACGCAAGGGCTGTGGGTTGTGACAAGACCCACAGCCCTGCAGCAGAGAGATGAGCACAGACTGGCCACACTGCACAACTCCAGCAGGGCGCGTGCGCAGAGCCTTGAGAGGCACGTGTGGACACAGGACACATCTTCCTGGGTCCAGAGGGTCTCTGCGAGCCAACCTCCCCAGGCCCAGAAAATCCAGCCATCACACCACTTCTCTGGCCACCCTCGCTCTCTGCCCAGTGCTGGGCTGGCATCTCACCTTGGCACTGCCCAAAACAACACACTCGGTTTTCACCCGAGGGGCGCAGTCCCCACTGCTGGAGGGAGGGAAGGAGGGTCTGTGTCCTGCACACACATGCACACACACACACACACTCGGCCAAACTCCCAGGCGGGGTGATGCTCTCCCAAGTGAAGGGGCCTCCCGCTTACGCAGCAGAGGAAACCTTTGTGTGGCTGAGGAATCCTGCCAATTCCTCTTAGGGAGCAAGGATACCAGCAAGGAAGCCTGTTCTCTCCCGGAGCAGAAAACAAGAGGCCCGGCAGGGCCGAGCCCTCCACCAGGACATCTGCCCAGAGGAAGGATGCTGTCAACTTTCTTCTCCCCCCAAACTCTGGTGACCTCTGCCTTGACCTTCAGGAACCAGACCCACCGGGCGGGCTTTGCACCACAGACTCAGAACTCGGGCCCAGCTCTCTGGCCCGGACATGTGCACTCACATTCCAAAGATGTTTCCGCTGCACTGCGATGGCTGGAAATGTCTTTCCGGCAGAATTCTTTCCAAACAAACTGCCATCAGCTGTGCGCCCCGGCCTGTCAGCGGCAGCTCCCCACCACAAGCCACCGTCACCTCATGGCAACAAATCTTGGGAGTTGCCAAAAATGACTGAATCCGGTGGCTCCTCCAAAGGCGTTAACTCCAGAAATGCAGATAAGGTCCGGGGAAGGGAAGAGAAGCAAGCCCCCTCTCGTCCAGAACTCCACCTTCAGTGACAGAGCACTGATCGGGAACAGAAGCGCCCAGCCCAGGGCCGCATCATGACTCAAACTCGGTTTCCTTCCACGTGGCAGGGAGGTGTTAAACAGGTTTGCTTAAAAGATCCAAAATTTCTCTCTCTCGCTCTCTCTCTCTCTTTTTTTTTTTTTTTTTGGCCCCGTATCATAAGAAAATGAGAGCACTAGAGGGTTCATTAGAGCAGGCATTCCCCCTTTCCAGTAACACACACACACACACACACACACACACACACACAAAGAACATTCTGCTTGGGTAATCGATGAGAGGAAAAAGCTTTGAATACTAAAGAGTAGTATTAAATTATGTCAGGAGTTTTCCACAGTAAGAAAAAGCAATGTACCGATAACAAGACAACCCAAACTTTAAAAACATATGTGTGAACATATATATAAACATATAGAGAGATGAGTAATAGCTATACTAAAGTTAAAAAGAAAGCCTCCTATAAGAACTCACTTGTCCTGAAACAAAGCTTACACGTTGGGCCATTGATAGTATTTTCAGACGCGGGCGGTCTCTGGAGTGTTAAAAGTATGCAAATGCAGCGTACAGAGAGACACAAACACACACATGCTATACCTTTGTATTACACTGGCATTTTATTATTTAATTAAAGTACTCTTCTTTTTCTAGCTCACGCACGCTTCCCCTGAGACGGCTTTGCTGTTAGCCTGCTGGCCTTGACTTCCAGCCAAAAACAATTCAGAAACAAAAAGGGACAACAAATCATATTTTCACAGACATTTTTATCCTCAATACAACCCTGTTTTCACACAACATCACATAGCCACTCTGAAAACTCTCATTTAAAGCCACTAGCCACCCAAACCCAGCATCTGACACATGGCCTCCCAGCCATCTTCCAGGGTGAGAGATCCCCAAGTTCTTAACTGCAAATCAACTCTCTGGAGAGAACTATTTAAACTGGTATCGCCCAGCTTATAAACAGTGACACTGGTACCAACCAGGGTGGATGGATTTAAAAAACAAAAACCACGAGCCACTGAATTTAGTTCAGAGAAAGCAGATCTGGAAAGACAAGGGATTTATCAGTTCAGAATGCTATTTCCCTGCTTTATAAAAGAGAGCCTCACAGGCAGGCAGGGGGAGCACCCTGCTGCCAAGGTCTCCAGTGCACCATGCAGTTTACAAAACAAACTGATTTCGCAGGTTAATTCTCTCAACCCTTCCACCACCGAGAGCCTCACTTACCTGGTGGCAACCCTGTAAGTTTGATTCTCTCCCATAAGATGAGTATGAGCCCCTTTCTGTTTTACCTGCCAAGAGAAACAACAACAAAAAAGTATAAATGGTGTTTTCCCTTTAAAAAAAAAAAAAAAAAAGCTCCTTCAGGTAACCGGCATCCATCTACATCTCTCCGTGTTTACGTACATAACGGAGGCTCTAGCAGCAACGTATGCAAGCAAGAGCAGGAGCAGTGCTGGCTGCCTCGCTCCGGCTACGAGAAACTGCCAACAAATACCCTTCATTCCTATTCTTAGCCAAACGGCTCCACACTTCCAGAGACTGTCATTCCAGTGGTCTCCACTTTCGCTAGCAGACAAATTGTCATTCCCCGATTTTCACTTTCTTTCTCCTTCGCACAAAATTTACACAATTTCATTTTTACTTACACAGCAGGCAAATTATCTATGTAATGACCCTAGCCTGGTAATTCCCATTGATTATATTGACACTTAATGGTGAGGCCAAAGCTAATCAATCACAGGCTCTCCAGATGGTGAGTTTTGCAAAGAATTGATTCAAAATTCTGAGTCTCTCTCTCAACCTATTTAAAGGGGGGAAAAAAAGGCAAAACCAAAAACCGTTTCCCCCAAGAGCAAATCCCATGATGATGATGATGATGATGATGATGATGATGATGATGATGATGATGGAAGTTATGATCAGAAAGAAGTGTTTTTATTTTCAATTGTTTGGAAAAAATGCCCACTTTGAACCCGAGTTTACATTCCAAGGAGCCACGGCAGGGCACGGGGTCTGGGATTGTGGAGAGTCTTGTTCAGGTTCTAAGGACTCCATCTGTGTCCAGAGATAGCATTACAGAGAAGTGTAGGGTCTCTGGTGCCATTTGCCAACATATCCAAGGATAAAATGAAGGCCCATCATTTGTGCCTTTGGAAGGGACATTTCGCTCTAGTAAGTAATCAGCAGGGAAGAGAAAAATAACCCATCACAAGAGATCTAAAACAGCAGTGGAGTTCAGAGCAAGGGTCAGGGTAAGGGAGGTATTTGGGGCCCAGAGCAGGATCCCCACCCACCTTGCCCACGCCTGAAGGAGACCCTTTTCCTGCAGACTCTACTGCACATACACTAGACTCAAGACCTAACCATGCTTTCTCCATCTCAGAAAAGTGAAATCTTGTCTTTTTAGAGGCTGAATGAGCAGTCTGTATAAACCCAAGTCGTCGTTGCCCACCCCGCTCCTCCAACTCACCTGAGCACCAATGCTCAAAAACTCAACTGAGCACCAATACGAAAAGGAGCGGCTGTTTTGTGATCATTTCAGTCAATGGCCACGTGCTTAGACTCTCCCTTCCTGACACCACACTAAGAAGCAATCCTTAACGGCATCTTAGCTATTTGGTCAATGGTGCACCTTGTGTTTCAGTCCATCAACGTATCAGAGAGAGCGGCTGAGACTCCAGGAAGACCACACTTGAGTCTCATGATTTACTCAACCCTGGCTCTCCTGCTTTCAATGAATCTCAAACACAGGAAAACACCCTCCTCCCACCTCTCTTCCTGGTACAGCATAAAATCAACACCCATCTCCGCTTCAGACCCGCCCACTCAGGCCACCATTTCCCACACAGCAGGTCTATGGAGAATAACTTTGATTGTATGAGGATTTTATATGGAAAGTCATTGTTACCTATTATCAGAAGCGCCTGTGGTCCCACTGGCATGCTTATTCTTTTGTGTAAGTCAACTATAAGCTATTTATACCCTTTAACTTCTCTCCACATATTACTAACAGGAAGGGCTTGACCTTTGGGAGCTATTGGTTAAGAAAACTATTCCTAAGCTCTGGCATCTAAAAAGGCTTCAATACAGCCGCCACACAATTCACGTTGACATTATATGCACCTGTACAGGCAGGTAGGCATGCAGAGAGGTAAATAGATAATCAAGCCGAATCTGCTCTAGCTTCCAAGGAAACTGAACATCGAGCTTCATGTTTTGTTAACTGCAAAAAGTGGAATTGCAAAACACAGTTTGCGGGAGAAAGGCCATCCTTCTCAGGCCGTAGGTGGAATTAGTGAGGAATTAGCCCGTCTAATGCCACCAAACAGGATTGTTTTACATCTCCAGTCCAGCACAGTGAACGGCAGAAAGGGGCTATTCTTCCAGAATTTCCCTCACTTCACGCACCTAGGTGAGGTGATGCCTTTTATTATTGGAGAACACCAGGAGGGGTGCCCCTGAGAGTAAGCGTTTACAGAGAGGGGAGGGAGAAGCATGGCGAGAGGAAGCCTGGGACAGAATGGCTTGTGGGTCAGGTCGGGAGGGGAAGCAGGCAGAGAAGAGGACCGTGTGCAGAGTCCCCGAGTCCTCTTGGCTGCTTGGACCCGGCATGCTTCACCATCATATCAGACACAGACTGCTTCAACTTCATTCTGCTTGTTAAAAAATATTTATCCAGATACAAAAATAAACCCACTGCAAATTACAAGTTGTCAGGGTTAAAAATCCACTCCTGTTTGTGTGGGGGGAGGGTACGAGACCAGCACAGACATGAATCATTCTCAGTAATTTGAGTGTTTCCATGACATCAGTGGGCACTAGTCCAGGACTCTGTCGAAGTCTGTGAGGGACCAAAGAGGCAGCACAGCCAGCAGGAGGCTGGAGGGGGACTCCCCCCACCACCTTTTTTTTTTTTTTAAGATTATTCTCCTTGTAAAGATTTCATCTGCAGCCTCCACTTTGACCGCCAAATAGACCACTCCGGAGATCATGGGCAAACACATTTCATTCTGATAGTCGAAGGAAGACTAACTTTATGCCCATCTTTTTGTTCCCAAATCCAAATGCCCTGAGAGCCCAAAGCCCTGTTTGGGAACAAAATAATCAGGGACTGTGGATGAAGTCCCAGAACCATTGGAAACGTAACATATCCCTGAACACCATTTAAAAGGAAAGGGAGAAAAAAAAGCAGCCATTTTAAAATGACACCTCAATTTCTAGGATGGGGTAGGAGATGGGGAGGGGGTAACTTTCTGTGTAAATTGCCCATTAGAAATCAGGCATGGTCCTGATGTTGATTTTCTGCTTAAAATTCACTGGGACATTTATTTCAGATAATAAAATTTTCAAGAGCACCGATAGCATGTTGGCGTGGGGTCTTTAAGTAACTCTCTATGCTCATGAGAACAGACGCCCACCCTCTAAATAAATGCTGGTACTCCATGGTGGGAAGGGATTTTCTTTTCTGTTTTTGTCTGGTCACTCAGCCCAAAGAGTGGGTGCGGGCAGCTTTGCCCTTTCTCCAGCCTGCCTCGCCCCCTATCCCCACAGCAGAGGCTCTGAAAGATCAGCTCGAGACCCCCTTACCCCAATATTTGAAAGAGAGAGCAGCGATGAACAAACCCGGCGTGTGTGGCTGCGGAATTTTTCGCGACAACCCCGTAGTACGAGAATGCGGCAGCCGCTGCGGATATTTTTTTGGCACAAAGACCATGGTGGCAGTGCCAAGCCCCATAGCTAAAGCTACTCAAAAGAGGCATAAGGGTGGCATTAATCGCTCAAGTCTTTTACAGCATGGAGTACCGCTGTCCATATTTTAAACACCAAAAGTCTCCGTTAGTAAAATTGGTCGTACGCCCCTGAAGGGGGGGTTTGGGTGGGGGTGGGGGAATCCAAGATACATACATATATACAGACACACACCAGAAACCAACCTTGTCAGGCATTTGATTCATTTTTATATCTAAAAGGACCAAATGTGAAATGTCGCTGCCTGGTGACGGTTTTGCGGTGCACGTATGCCTGGTGTGACCGAAGGGGAACGCCGAGGGCTGAATGGAAGTGACGAGAGGGGGTTTCATAAACGAAGTCGACATATTGGCTAAACAACATCCTTTCTGCAAAAATGATGTATACAAGGAACATGTAATACGATGTCACAATTTTTTAAATTGAGCAAGAATAACGCTGCAAGTGAGCAGACACAACATCCGTCAATCAATCCTCCTGGAGACAAAGGAGACCCCCGTGCAGCCCCTTCACGAGAGCGAGGCAGCGTCGACAGTGCGCAGACCCTGCACCAAGTCCACGCACGGAACCCCACCAGCGGCCGCTGATAAGACCTGTAGTCCGACTCATCGCTAAAAGTGATGGCCGGCTGACCCGCACAGGAGGAGATCCTTGCCCTTCCGGTGCCCTTGATAAACTCAGCGGAAGACTACAAGCTCCTTCATTTTTGGTTTTTGTTTTCCTTGAAGGCCAAGTCATTTTTAGCTATTCAATAATCCTTCTCCAATATGTCCCAAGAAGGGTAACCAAAACAATGCTTTTAATTTAAGGGCAGAGTGTGAATAACTGTTGTCCCCAGAATTCCAAATATTTTGTGTGTGTGTGTGTGTGTGTGTGTGTGCTTATAGTCTTATATGATTTGGCCATTTGACTTCCAGTGTTTTCTTCCATGTGTCCATGGTACGCTATCATAAGGGGATGCCAAGAGTTCTCAGTGGGAATGAGGGGCCTCGAACATAAAGAGATGGAGGCATCCCTTGGACAGGCTGCACACTGGACACACGGGGCAGCTTGTAGCGGCGCAGGCAGGGCTAGAAACCAAAAAGAAGGACTTCACATGACAGTTCCCAAAGACGAACTGTGGCTGAGGCCAGCCACAGGTGCTTGTCCAATAGGGAAACGCCGGGGTCATGTTTTGGTCTTAAGCAGCTGTCCACTCTAAAAAGCACGACTTTGCAAACACGCACAAGCAGCAGACATTGCACCCACCACTGAGACGGATGCCCCTGCGTGGTAAAGGCATCAGCCTGGGAAGGCCTCCGCAAAGAAAGTACCTGCTGCTTCCGGACAATGCCAAGTTAAGGCGCTTTCCCCATTAATCCTCCTTCTGGGAACTGAAGCCTGAGCCTTTGTCTCCTAGCATCAGGGGAGGACACTCATCATAAACCGGTTTGACTCTGAACAGATCTCTGTGCCCCTGCCTACCCCCAATCCAGCTTGGCTACCCTATTAGCTGTTTTGGTAAGTTTGTTTGGTTTGGTTTGGTTTGGGGGGGGCGGGT